TCTTCCCGGGTACTCCAGGTTTTTCCGACTGTCTAGATGTAATCTAAAATACAGGTTGTGGACAGTTGATTTATTAAGCAGCCCTTTTCAGGTTATACCTTCCCCCTCTTCTACCACCACCCCACCTGCAAATAAAGGCCTCTCTGTGTCATGTTTGTTTTAAGGTTTCTAACCCACATGCAGAACACACGGACTCTGGGAAAAAGTTCAACAGTTTATTGTTTGACACAATGAGAATAAAGCACTGATTCTGGGGGTAATCAGGTCCAGGACTGGTCACGACTGGTTTCTCTGCAGAGGGGGACAGAATGGTTAGCAGATGTCCAGGTATCTTTGCTGGTAGAATGAGTGTAGGTCNCCAGAGGCTGTCGGCAGGCAGAGGGCAAGGCAGAGGCAGAGCTTGGTGTGAGATCTTGCAGATTCGGATCTGTGTTTCTCTTTCAGTTTCTTCTGAGAGCGGGCAGGCAGGTATCTGACAGATTTGACTTCCAGAGTTCTTCAGAGATCAGACAGGCTGGTTTCAGACTGAGAAACTCTTCCAGAGTTTCAGGGTTCAGACAGGTACTTCTTTAACTGGCAAACACTCTGGCGCTGGAGTGTTGCTCTGCCTCTCCTTAAATGCTGGTGTCCTGATGAGCAAACGAGCCGCAGGTGTGAAGTCAGCTCCAGCTCCCGGAGACCTAGAAGGCCCTCTGTAGGAGAAAGGTGGACAGACCTCCAGATCCCAACACTCTGTGAAAATGTAGATATTAAGCCAATGAATGTTTGGTTTTCAAGAAAAAGTTTCTGAATCTTGTTAGAGTTGTACTTGTAGGGCCACAGCTGTTAAAACTAAATCTTCAGCTGTAGCATTTTTACAGTCAGTCTAATTGACCTCCATTGGTTCAAACGGGAGTATTTTGTCAAGGTGCTGATTCTCTGTCGCTGCCTCCTTCACCTTTTCAAGCATCTGATCATTTCCTTTTTCCTTCAGATTGCTCACAAACCTTTCAAATATAGTGAGCAGAGGATAGACGTACTCAATAACGCTGCCTTTCATGTGTGGGAACCCAAAGAGCCTGCCATGCGCATCAAACACTGGAGAGCCAGATGCTCCTTGATACATAAAGGTGTGGTAGGTAGCCACCTTTTCTGCTTTGTCTCTACCCATCATTATGTCCTCAATGCCTCGATTCTTGATTTGAAACACTGATTGGAGGTTGAACATCGAATCTTTGTGTTTGGCTAAATGATCATTGACGGCTTGTTCTCTCCCCTTTGTCTCAATGATGCATGTTGGATCAAATTTGTTTACTCCTCCTAATACAGACCTCACCATTTATAGGAAGAGGACCAAATTTGTTGAGCAGCCCTGAATGAACTTTTACATTATATTATTTTTTTTTTTTTTTTTGTGGGGGGAGGGATTTTTGGCCCCCCCGTTTGAGCACAAGTATGGCATATTCTAGCTCATTGTCAATGGCGACAAATGTTTTCTCAGCAGAGAAGAAAAAGTAATTTTTCTCTGGTTCTGAATCAGAGTGTTAGATAAGGGTAATTTATTCCACACTAATGTAAGCAAGTACTTGTTTTTGTTTCATATCAAAACAGCAAACTTGTAGTCTGATTAAAATACACAAAGTAATTTATGATAAAGATCGAAAAATGCCAAGAAATGTCCCTCACCCCTGCTTTCCTTGTCAAGTTCTGTACAGTTCATGAAGAGGATGTATTTTACATCTCTCATACAGGTGTACACTTTCTATTGACTTATGTTTCTGATGCAACATCAAGGTAAAATATTTGTTCAGGGTGTGCCAAGAAGACAGATGAAGGGTGTGACTGAACTGGAAGAAAACAAACTGGCTCCCACACCACTAGACATCAAGACTCAGGTTTTTGCAACTTGAATGACAGAAAAAAAGTGTAAAACACCAACCGTAAATACTATAAATGCTATAGAGTTCTTGGAAACAAGTTGGAATTGTGAGCTAAATATATAAAAAAAGAAAAACTGTATGTCCAGCAAAATTGTTCTGGGAGTTCTGTAAGATCAATTCCTTAAATGAAAGATGAAGTCAAAAGACAGAGTTGACTGAAAAGCAAAACTGAGCAATAAGATTGGAAATAAAAGTATCAGCTGCAAATTTGTAGTTTTTTTTTAACCTTTGCATTTATTTCTTCTTTTGCAGGTGAATCCAGAAGAATAGACAGAAAAGGTTGGAGAAACTAAATGTTACCTGTGTAATTTACTTTGTTTTTTTTTTTATCTTTTTTTTTTACAGCAGTTATCATTCAATCTCCTGAAGTTAATTGTTTTTCTTTATTCAACATGCTGGCCTCAATCCCCAAAATGTGATATGTGATTCAGATAGCCAAACAACACAGTATATTGTAAACAACCATTCATTGGTCATAAAGTACCTTCTGTTAAAACTGTTGAAATGGAAACAATAGAGATCAGAGGAAAATCAAGTTGCATGAAGGGACAGATTCCCACAATGTTTCAATACATGTCCCTTATCTTACAGTAACTGCATAAAATGTTTGACAAAGCAAACAGCAAGAAGAGTCAAGGCTATGGTCGTCTCACAAGTAAATATATTTTTTTTTTTTATTGATAAAGTAGGAGGGAGAAACAGCAAAACAGATATTTTAGATTGAACAAGATATTCAGAAGAACTGTTGGTATGATTATATTTTTAGGGAAAATGATATCAGCCTTTAAAGCAGTGATTACTCTACATTGCAATGTGGTTTTTAGGGTCTCGCTGAAGACCCAGAATGCAGATTATGGGGATCGAACCAGATACTTGCAACCTTCTCAGAGCACAAGCGAACTGCTATAACAACTAGGCCAACACTCCCCAACACTTAGTTTAATACGAAGGCTTTAGCAACTGCAGCAAACATGACTGAAAACTTTCCCTGTATAATTTAGGTTAAAAAATGCAATAGTGAATAAATCAAAACATGATCCCCTCCAGGATCCACGACATTAATGTTTTGGAGTGGTTTCAGTGCCCAGATGATCCCAGAGGCTCTGTTGTCAGGGGCTTAAAAGCAAACACGGGTCAGACAAAGAGTAGTTCCAAACCCCTAATGATGATGAAAAGATCAAGGCACTTGATGTCACCTGGTACGTCAGAGCTGGGACTCCACCCTGGTGCACTTAGTGCCTAGTGGTTGGATTTTTCTTGACCAGGCTGGGCCCATCCCAAAGGAGTGGTGTAAGCCATTCCCCCATTTATTGAGCGGAAGACGTATCTTAAAAGCCTTATGGTGGAGGCTGTCTACGCTTTGTGTGCGCAAACAGCTAATGTAAGTACGTACTTGTTTTTGTTTCATATCAAAACTGAAAAATTGCATTCTGAATAAAATACACAAAGTCATTTATGGTTACGATCTAGAAATGCCAGGAAACGTCCCCTCCCCCCTGCTTCCCTCGCCAAGCAGTGTACAGTTCAGGAAGAGGATGGCTTTTACATCTTTCTTACAGGTGTACATTTTCTATTGGCTTATGTTTCTGATGAAACATCAAGGTAAAATATTTGTTGAGGGTGTGCCAATAAGATAATAACAGCTGAAGGGTGTGACTAAACTGGAAGAAAAAAAACTGGCTCCAACGTCACTACACATTAAGACTCAGGTTTTCGCAAGTCGAATGACAGAAAAAAAGTGTGAAACATTAACCCTAAATACTATAAATGCTATAAAGTTCCTCGAAACAAGTCGGAATTGTGAGCTAAATATAAAAAACAGAAAAACTGTATGTCCACAAAAACTGCAATGAGAGTTTTGTAAGATCGATTCCTTAAATGAACGATGAAGTCAAAAAACATATTTGGCTGAAAATCAAAACTGAGCAATAAGATTAGAAATAAAAGTATCAGTCATCCCGGGTACAAGCGTCTGAAAGCAGAGTTCTCCTCAGGATGGCTGGGCATTCCCTTAGATATAGTATGAGAGGTGCAGTCATTTTGGAGAGGCTTGGAGTAGAGCTGCTTCTCCACATTGAGGGGTGGTTAGGACATCTTTTCTGGATGCTCCCTGAACATCTCCCTCGGGACGTATTCCAGGCACGTCCCACCAGGAAGAGAAGTAGTAGACGACCCAGGACATGACTGAGGGACTATTTCTCTCCCTCTGGCCTGGAAGCACCTTAGAGCTTCTCCAAGAGGAGCTGGAGGTGTCTGCAGAGAGGGAGGTTTGCGAATTTTCTGAGACTGCTGCCCCCACGACTCAGATGAAGCAGGAGACGACAAATACATAACACGATAAGACTAAGCATGATACAACAAGAAAACGTAGAGGACACTTAATTTTAAAACACTTTATTAAGAAAGTGCATTAAAAGTGATGTAGAAAAAAAAAAAACAAGCAAAAAACAGCATAAAATTCATCAACCAGGTGAAGTCAAACATGACTAACAATCAGAGGGCAAAAAAAAAGCCAATTGAGGATGCGAAACAGCTCAGCCTGGGAGATTAAGTCTGCCTGGTAGAACTGGTATGACTTTTGAAAACAATAATCTTCAAAGGAATTCAGTAATGAAACCAAAGCAGGTAAAAAAAAGTCAGACCCATGGAAATGTTTTTTACTTTAATTTACCAGTACAGAATTTTTATTCAGTTACAGACATTAAATGGAGTCTGATTGAATAAAGAGAAGTACAGTATTTATTACACGTTTTTAGTCTTTATGTAACAGAGGTAACATACATTTTTTTAACAAAGGTTAGAAATGCTTTTTATTGGGTTGTGCTTTAACTTCAAATGATGATAGAACATTAATATTGTTTACAATAGAGATAGACGATACATCGGCTGTCAAATAATCAAATAATGTGATTCTTTCCTGTACAGTTTGATATGTGCATGGGTTGGCCCATTCGTTATTACATTCAGCAGCCATGCCTTTAGATCACGTAAAGCAAATGCTTTGCTGTTCCCCTACATTTACTATCCATTGTTAATGTTTAGTTGGTTAATCATTAACAATCTTTTTTTTTCTTTTAATTGAGATTTTTGTCATTTTTTTTCTATGACTGTGCCATTTTGATTATGTTAATGCAGGAAAATAAATATCTGCTCTCAGAATTGTCCAAAACATGTCTGCAGCACATAGCGGTGATCAGTTAGACTGATGTTAATGTCAGTATCAGGAAAGTAGTCAGTATCAGTCGATCTCTAGTTTACAATAAAATAATCACACAGTGCAACAATAAACTGAAGTATAGTTAGAAATCCACCAACTCTGTAAAATAAGCAAAGATCTATGTAGGTTGTTGATTATATTTGATTAAAATGTAGAAATGAAAAAGTAAAAAACAAAAGTTATGAATATTGCTGGGAAGAAATTGTGCTAAAATCTCTTAAGTTTTAAATACTTTGAGCAGCAGCTAAAGGTTGCAGGTAAGGTGACTCTTGGACTGGTTGTGTCCACTTATTTTATATTGTGTAGAACAAGATTCGTTGCCAGATTTAGCGTAAATTAATCTGTGGTCCTACCTGACCGAAAAGGAGTGGATGTAAACGATGGATGTCATTAATAAACATAGACTGATCCAAATTTAAACTATTTAAAGAAGGACAAAGAGTAGTCCATGACTTATTTGAATGGAATTAGAAAGCGAAAATGTCTCTGTTCCACTATGCTGGAGGAGTGGGGATCAAATTACCTGATTGGTTTTATAGTTTCCTTATTATTTGTTTTGATAAACAAAATAATACTATTAGATATTTACAAAAAGCCAAACAGAAACTGTTATTTCACCGAGACACTGATCAGCATGAAAATACCCCAAAACAAATCAGCATCAGAGCAAATTACTTAAATTACTGAGGAGAATGATAAACTGCGTTGTCTGTCCCTCGTTTCTTTGAGACTCATAGAGGATCACTACTTTATCTATTTTCTGTCCTCCTAAACGATCATATTCTTTTTTTAATCTTTCATTCATTGTTTTAAATGAATCTGTCCCGCTTACTATATACGCAATGTGCCACTCCAAAAATGATTCTTTCCCCGTGCAATTAACATATTTTATTTTGTATTTTCACCCAAAGCAGATTAGTTTTACTTTGTCAACATGTTCTGGTCAGACTCATGAAATTGCCGACTAATTGATGTGTAGTTCCGACTAAAACACACCTGGGGTCTATCTCAGTCAGATGTGCTATGCAAGCCCCTTTGTGTAAAATTATGTCGGTTGTGATCATCCCAATTGACTTTCAATGGGCACTAAACGTCACAACCTCATCTGACACGATTTTCTGGCGGATCGGACACTAAATCGGATTCAGTGTGTTCTGGCCTTAAGACAGACACCACAGAAGATCCTTCCTGCCTTCAGCAATTAACATCTACAACAAATAATTGAAAATAAAATGTGTTACTGCATTTATTTCTCCTTTGGCATTAATAAAGCAGTGCTGAATTAAAATGAAACTGATTAAAGCAACGTAAGGCACAACCCCCCAAAACTAATGTGTATGTAGGTAAAATAAAAGTGGTAAAAAAAACCTGGAGTCTTAACCAGCAACCCAACCAGGATGTTAGTGTCTCTCACCCAATAGTAGAAATAGGGATAGCGGTGATCTTGTTAGGATAAAATGGAGAAATGGAAGAAAATGTTTCTTTGGAAGGAAGATTATCTTTGATTAATTTAGGAAATTTATTTTATGATGGGTTTTTACTCCTGTTCAAGACTCAGGTGGCAATTTCACTGGATGAAACAAAATCAGCCCAGTAAATTAGTTCTGGTTTTTATTCCTGACAATTACCTTCCTGAAAGAAGTATGATGTTTTCTCCATGCATTTACGTATCTTCCTGGGTACTCTTGGTTTTTCTGTCTAAATGTAAACTAGGAAATGTGTAAGGTATAACCACCCCACCCCACATAAAGGCCTCTCTGTAAAAATGTAGATATTAAGCCAATAAATGGACAATTGTTTGGTTTTTAAAAATAAGTTTCTGAATCTTGTTAGAGTTGTATTTGTAGGGCCACAGCTGTTAAAACTAAATCTGCAGCTGTAGCATTTCTACAGTCAGTCTAATTGACCTCCATTGGTTCAAACTGGAGTATTTTGTCAAGGTGCTGATTCTCTGTTGCTGCCTCCTTCACCTTTTCTAGCATCTGAACATTTCCACTTTCCTTCAGATTGCTCACAAACTTTTCAAATATAGTGAGCAGAGGATAAGCGTACTCAATAACGCTGCCTTTCGTGTGTGGGAGCTCATAACAATAACCTGCTGTGTGAATCCCAAAGAGCCTGCTATGGGCATCAAACACTGGAGAGCCAGATGCTCCGTGATACATGAAGGTGTGGTAGGTAGCCACCTTTTCTGCTTTGTCTCCACCCATCATTATGTCCTCAATGCCTCGATTCTGGATTTGAAACACTGATTGGAGGATGAACATCGAATCTTTGTGTTTGGCTATATGATCATTGACAGCTTGTTCTCTCCCCGTTGGCTCAATGATGCATGTTGGATCAATTTTCTTTACTCCTCCTGCTGGGTGGCCAATAATACAGGCCTCCCCATTTATAGGAAGAGGACCAAATTTGTTGAGCAGCCCTGGAGGAACTTTTACATTATCTACATTCGTTTTGGGGTTGGATTTTTGGCCCCCTGGTTCAAGCATGAGTACAGCATAATCTAGCTCATCATCAATGTCGATAAATGTTTTCTCAGCAGAGAAATAAAAGTAATTTGTCTCTGGCTCAGGATCATCATAGTTAAATAGAGCAGAGACGTTTATATGATCCAGAATGTTTTTTCCTTGGACGCATCCTTTGAACAAATGTGCACTGGTCAAGATCAACCTATCAAACAGCACGAAGCCAGTTCCCTGGGAAAAACCAGAAATAATGACTTTACAGACAGACTGGCCCATTTTCAGCAACTTCCTGATTCTATGAACTTCGCTGAAAGACTGTTGGATCTTTCCAAAATTCTCATTCTTAAGTTTGAGAGCTTCTTGGTAGGAATCAGCAGGGAATCTCTTCTCCATCCAGTCTTTAAGATCTGGGAACTGCTGACGCAGCAGTTGGTAAATCTCAGCAGTGTTAACGCTGGTCGGCTCTTCCATTACTTTCCTAACACTTTTTCCACTGTTACG